GGAAGTTTATTTGGTTTTATGGAATAAGGTGTTAAACACTTTATGTTTTGGTTAAAGGATTTGATATTGCTTTTTGGAGACTATTAAGATTTGTTAATGGAATTGTAAGAATAGCAAAGGAGATTGTATTGATAATTGAGGAATATAGCCTTACACATTTATAGGGTTAACCTATAGATGTGTGGCGTGACAAATTTTGTGGTATCAGAGCCAGGTTTAGATGACTAGGGCCAGGTGTAGGGTTCTAAGCCAAGACACGTGGTGAGCAAGAGGGGGGAATTTTATAGTAATGGGACATCAATGCATCATTAGCCTTGCATATGTTTTCATTACCTTGTTGATCATTTAGAATATAGATTATGTGTTGGCACCCCTATTAGGGGTAAGTGACTAAACGAGTATATGTGAGATGATACTTCTCTTTGAATTCTTCATCTTTGCTATCCATTACTTCACTGTCATTTTGGTTATAGACCTGATTAGTGGAGCTTATGCTAATTAGAATTACCATTGGAAGATAGTAAATTTTTGATTCCCAATAAATGAGAATTTAGTTATTTGGTAGTATTGAAAGTCCACTCCTATAAAATTGTTTATATTGCAACTTGGTTGAATATTAAGAATGGTGTAGATTACTTGGAGACAGTTTTATACACAATATGAAAAGTTGCAATTTGACTTAAATAGAAAGTGAATTGCGAGTTTGTTAAAGGGGTCATAATTCTTTAGCTTTTAATTAAGGTAATCCCTCCAAGCCTTGTTTCCTTTTATGTATATATATAAAAGCATAGAATTATATCATTGACTTTTCTACATTTCCATCAAGAATTGGAGTTGAATGAGAAGATTGGAGCTTTTCAATTACTTGAACTTTTCTAGGCTAAAGTGGATATGGCTTTGGTGGAATTGAAATGTGGTATTATTTTTAGTGATTTTGGGTTGATATTGGGAGACTAGTTGGAATCAAATGAAGATTTGGAGTCTATATAAGTTATTATTATTATTATTATTATTTTAAGTTAGTTTGGATTTATTTACTATCTTAGTGTTGTTAGAATATGGAGCTGGTTAGTGAGATTTTTATGATATCTGGAAAAAAAAAATTATTATAGAGAATAATTTCGGCCTTCTGATGTCATTCTAAGATCATTTAATCAACTAGATTGGCTTATGAGGAGATGGATTTCATTGAATTAATTGAGGGGTTGTGCTAGTGAGAGTATGATTTTAAGATATAAAATGTTTCATTGATGGATTTGCAAACAATTGAGTTGAGTTAATTATAATTATATGGTGCGAACATCTTAGACATGGAATTGGAATGGTTTCTGATGTTGCCTTTACGTTTTGTAAGTTTAGAC